ATGGCTTACCCCTCAAGGGGAGGGTTCCTCTGTCTCTGCTCTGCTGACATTTCAGTAAGGATAATTTGCTTTGGGGCTGCCCTGGGTGTTTTAGGATGTTTAGCAACATCACTTGTTCCTACCCACTGGAAGCCAGTGGAATCCCCAACTTTAACAAGTAAAATTATCTCCAGACCTTCCCAAAATTGCCCCCAGCTGAAAACCACCCTTTCAGGAGCCATATGCCTCCTGGGTTGAGTTTTCACAAATGGAAGACCCACCTCGGAAGTTGATCTCATTGTGTATCTCCAATTCATGTCTGCTGGGTGCACTTCTAGAAGCACCCCCCCCCAAAAAAAAGATGTTTACACAAACATCAAAGGTGGATATTTTTCTTCTTCTACCTCTGAGGTCCACTCCCCAAACACCCCTGCAAGGTCTGACACAGACTAAAGATAAAAAACTCTAACACTGGTCAGTACGAAGCAGAATCAAGAGAGGAAGATCCTGAATTGGCAGAGTCTGGCCATGGGGACACTTCACCCCAGGACACAGGCACTTCCATCTGCACCCTTGTGCAAGTAGGAGCAGGCAGTGCCTGGGAGGCTGCATCTACACACGTTGCCTCGATCAGACTCAGTGCCTTCTGTGCCCCTGAGGCTCCATCTCTGCAATGGAAGGGAATGGACCGATGACATCTAGGGCTTCTGACTCTGATGAACCAAGTTCTGACATTCTCTTACTCTAAAATTATAATTAGTAAAGTCCTGATCTTGTGGCGCATCAAGGATTTGCAGAACATGCTATGAATTCCTCCATGGTTACCTCTTAATTACCTGAACAGATATAGGCAAGTATTGCTAATTCTAAAGGAAGAGATAAATCTAAACTTAATCTAGCTGGTCATGCAAAGGAACACAAATTCTCTCTCTCTCTTTCTCTTGTATACACACACACACACACACACACACACACACCCCTGTAATAGAATGGAGACCCCACAGACCCACGGAGAAGCTACATTGGGAATAACCCATTAGTAACTGAGAGTGGACCATACCCTTGTTTTGACTGATGTTTAGCAATGAACACAAGTCAATCAGGACCTGGGGGCCTGGCTGATGTTTGAGATTTGAGAGTCTCCCAGCGCCAACCCCCACCCACAAAACCCAAGGAAGAAAACACCTCTGCCCTCTATTCTGCATCTCCCCAGGGCTGTTCCACTTTCTCTGTTTCTATTTCTCCTTCTCTCCCAGTCTCAGAGCTACCCTCCCCAGGTCCCTCCATTTGCATATATCTCTGTCTCTGTATCTCAGCCCCTGTTCAGGCCTGTGTTGCTCTCTGTATTGCCCTCTCTCCCTCCCTCTCCACTCCCTCTCACCAATCACAACAAATTGACCTGGAGTGGAGGCCCTGTCAGGAGAATTATCTGCCTGTTCAGACTAAAGGGGTTTTCTTTGTGCATCTCGCCGTGATTCATCTTCAGGAAGGATCGATTCCTGGGCATCCATCTCTGCTTCTGCAGAAAAGCTCTAAAGCGGCTGCATCCCTGCTCTGCCGGACCTCTGGCTCTCATTCGTAGGCAGCAACAGCTCTGCGGTTTGCTAGCTTCTGCCCCTCCAGGAGAAAAACCAGCCAGGGCGGGAGGGGATGCTGACAGTGCCGCAGGCAGAGCTAAAAGCAGCCGTGGAGGAAATGGTGCCAGGACAATGGGCCCTGGGGCAGAACCCCAGCCAGCACCCTACCCCCTCCGCCCACTTGGAAGATGTGACTCCCATCTCTGTGCTCAGTGTCCTGATTATTTATGGAGTTGTAAAGAGTCCTTCAAGCAGCTCATTCTTTTCAACTGGCTGTAAGGCTGGCAAAGGAAGGTGCTGGCCCAAACCACACTGCTCAGGGAGTAGTTGGAGGGGATGCAGAGCAGAGCTGGGACAGACCCCTTCATCCTCCCACTCAATTTGCCTTTTAGGCTGACCTTGAGGAGCACCACTTGGTTCGGATACCTTATGCTGTGTGTGGGAGGACAAGGGAAGCAGAGGGGCCTGCTGGGAGGCGACTGACTGCAAAGGCAGAGGCAGCTATTAGCTGGCCTCACCACCACCTCCCCTCCCTGGAGCTTGTCTGCCAGGGTCCCCAACTCTCCTTTCTTGGGGAGACTCAGGAGTAGGGCTGGAGCATCATGTGCACAAAGATATCAGAGCCCCCTGTCTTTCCAGATTCTCTTCTACCCCAGCTCCTGGCCCCAGACCCACCCCCACCTTCTGTCTATCTTTTTGAGACCAGTTCTTCACTGGCAACTTCAGAAGCAGGGGTTGACTTCTTGAGGCAGATCCTGCTGTTTGTGGCTCCCCAGCAGCCTTTGCCTTGTTCTTCTCCCTTCTGACAGAACTCCTGTTTCAGATGGGCCCCTATCAGGCAGCAAGGGATGAAACCTGTTTAGTCTAACTAGGTTGTGAGAATCCTATTCCTTCTTGCCAGTGATTGGCCCAAAACTGGGCATGGAACCCTGTTCTCACCAATGGGGTGATAAGGAAGTCTGAAGTGGGGGAAGGCACTGGGAAATACTTTTTCTGCCTAGAAAGAAGAGGAAAAGGAAGAGGAGGAGCAAGAGCAGGAGCAGGAGAAATGCCACCCTGCCTTGCTGCTGGGGAGCTGAGCAGCCATCTTGCAATCATGAAGGAAGTGATGGCCTCCTGGCAGAGTAGCCAGACAGGGAAAATCTGGAGTTTGGTGACATCATTGAACTACCCCAAACCTGAAATCACCTCCTATGAGTCTCTAGTGATGTGACCTAAATGAACACTACAACTGAAGCCACTTTTGGTCAGATATTTGATTACTTGCTGCCAAAGAGATTTACCAAAAACAATGCTCACTGCCTTATTTCCTCCAATAACCAAGTATAAGTAAGGAGGATCTAGTCAGGATGGAGGCAGCCACATTCCCGTGCTTAGACAGGCTGCCTTGTTAATACCTGAGGAATGAAGGTGTTCTTCCTATCAGTTGTCAGTGACCAACACACAATTAACTCTCACTCATTGCATATTTCAAATCAAAATATATTTACTCTCTAACCCTACATACAGTATTATGACTTTTTCCAGGGAGACAAAATTCCAACAATAACCTAGAGAAAAGTTCCCTGTATACAGGTTGGCCTTTGCTTTCTTTTCTTTAGTTCCAAGAGGAGATAATAACAGGTGGGACTTTAAGAAAACATGTCTGCAGAGCTCCAGGAGAAGCTGGGACATGGGAAGGGATCAAACTTACACAGAGAAACTACCGTAAAAAAGAGGAGAGACTGCATAGAATATTTCACTTTCTGGAACAAGGGTAGGCCCCAAAGCCTGACCATCAGAACAGAGAGACAGTGCTGGTCAGGGCTTCGAAGGCACACAAATAAGGATTTGGCTCCTGGTGTGCACTAGCTGTGTGACTCTGGACACTTCACATCTCTGAGCTTCAACATGCTCTAAAGTAAAATGAAGATAGTGACACTCCTAGATTTGTTGTGGAAAAGCAAAGCACATAAAAAAGGGGTTAGGAGTGTGTGGGATGGAGTGATCCTCAGCAGAGTTCTGTAAATGCCCCAATGGGGAGGCAATGCAGCTCTGGAGAAGAGGGTGGTTGTGTCCACACAGACATCCAGACTGAGCACTAGTGGCTCTGGATGGCACTCACTGGGGTGGGAGACGACTCTGTGCTTTTGGGGTGCCAGACTCTGGACTGGAGCTGAGTCTGGGACTGCTTTGCTGGGATTGGCAGGGGGAAACTGAGCTTTCCACAGGATGGGATCTCAGAGGATCAGAGTGAAAATCCCTCAAGCAGCACAGAATAGTGAAACAGGTCATGTTTGAAAGTCAGAGATGCTAGGACTTTCATTTCAGCACTGCCTTGGTCCAGTTGTGCAGTCTTGGGAAGTGCACTTCACTGGAATATGCCTCAGTTTCCCCATTTGGAGGCTGGGACTCAGAGCCTCTCTGTCACAGGACTGGGAGTTGTTGGAGAGGCAAGCACCAGCCAGGGATGCCAGGGCTTCTCTCACTGACTGCCCTTTGCAGCCTGGGCGCTGGCTCCCCTCTAGTAGATCCCAGTGTCCGTGGAAAGGGAAGGAAGTTTCTGATTTGAGGCATGAGCAAAGTGGCTCATTTTCAAGTCCAATTCCCCACTTTAATTGAGTTTTGCCAAAAAGCCCCGTGCAAGCACTTTTCTTGCCATTTTGCCAGATTTGATTCTCGCTGATAATACAAACGCGAGGTCTTGAAGATAGATTACTGTTGTTGACAGTGGGATGAGATGGTGCAGATGGGCTCCTGGGCAGAACACGCTCTTCTGGCCAGCACCCCTTTCAACAGGCCTCTTCCACCACCTCTTGCAGACACCCAAACTGCCTGGGCACCTCCAATGGGCAGGGTCATGGACTCTTCCACACTGAGGTCCCCCTGTGGAGGAGGGGAGATGATGCCCACTTGTCTGGCTGCTGTAATCCTTCTAAAAATGCAATGGAAGTTTTAGAGGAAGATTTCAGCATGAAGCTCCTTTACCAGCTGACCTGTTACCTGGCAGTGAGCAGGACTCAGGTGTGGTGGGACACTGAACTGGCAAGCTTCAGTGGACACAAGGAAGGAGGCTTTGAATGGTGCTACCAACTGGACATGTATCAGGCTGCAGACTTTGGCACTTAACATGATGGAGCGGTGCTCTCAGACACAGGAGAACCTTTGTTAAGTCCAGTTTTAAGGAAGGTCAACTCCACTTTCTTTGCCAGCAGATCAAGAAACCACAGGGAAAGTTTCGTCTCACATCGCTCATCCCCATGCACCATGCATCCTACACACTTCAGGCGAGAAAATACGGTTGTTACAGCCATCCGCTCTGGGTTAGAAACATAAAGCAAATGGAAAAGCAAATGGGAGTAAAAAGAACCAGCCGCCTCGCAGACAATCATTGCCATCTTTTGAAAGAAATTCGTCATTTTCTCTAAATGGAAGATTCTCATCTAAAAAAAAACTTACCTGCATCTTGAAGACAACTCAAATGAGGAAATGCAGACTCCAATGAGATTCTATTTCTCACCCTAGAGGAATTCTGGATAAACACATTTTTTTAAATCAAATATTTTAGACATAAAACGTATAACTGATAATAAAATTAACATCAGGCACTCATGAACCACCCGTTCACAAAATTTAGCATCGTAGCTTCAGTCGAAGCCCTTATAAATTCTGCTCCTGATCTCTGTGCTTGGGGCCAACACAGTCCCCAATCTGGTTTTTGTGGCATCCATTCCTGAAGGAGTTTGGGTGATCTTACCACAAGATATGTGTTCATAAGCATACATAGTACCAGCTTGTGTGTTTTTAAGCTTTATACAAATGGTATATTGATTGCATACTTCTGCAACTTGCTTTTCTTTATTCAGTGTTGCATGCTTGAGATTTATCCATGCTGATCCGTGCAGCTCCAGCTCCATCATTTTCTCTGCTGTATAGATGGACATTTTGGATTTCTTCCATCATTGCTGTTGCTCAAGAAGCTGGGATGAGCATTTGAATTCACATCTCCTTGTGCATGCCTAAGAGACATCCCGGGCAAATGCCTGGGAGGGGCATGGCTGGATAAGGTACACATCTACAAGGATGGAGAGAGAGTGAACAAGTGAGCAGTGCCACAGAGACCTACTGGCTTAGAGCCTCCAATGTCTGCACAGCAGAGCACACTTTGCCCAGCGACAGTGGCATTCACCCAACAAGGTCAGACCATGGTCAAGGTACCCAGAAGCTTTGGTGCCTGGCCTGCATATTTATTCAGTGAGTATTTATTGCTTGAGTACGCACTGCCATGGACATGCATATGTGCATGTAAGACCTGCTTCCCCTGTCAGGGAGGGCTTGGGAACTTGGACACTGCGGCTGTGAGTGGGGACATGGCCTGCGAACTTAGGCCCTGAGGACATGAGAGAGATAGCAGCCCACCGAGTCATTAAAATATGCCAAAAAGTTCTGAAACCTGAAACAAAAGGTACATTCTGTCTGTAATTCTGGGAAAGGATCCTGGAAGATGATTCCTGGAAATTAGACAATAGGACAAAGCCAAAAAAAAAAAAAAAAAAAAAAAAAACTCAGCAGAAGGCATTTTGTCATCTTCCCCATAATTGTAAAATTCCTCCTCAGCAATTTTGAAGAACCAGCAAAACTGAAGCCAAAGAATTAAGAAATGGGAGCAAAATTAAACAATTATACAGACGAGACAGAGAAAGACAATGCTGACATGTGAGACCTAGCAGTCAAATCTTGAGCAACCACTGTCTGAGGACATCCAAAAACTTGCAGTGCGGTTGCCCTTGATGGCAGGTTGTAACAGCCTTTGCCTTCCCAGGCCACAGCAGTGTCAGGGACAACCTCAGAAGAGGTAATACTGTCAGCTGTTTCAGACTTTGTGTCCCATGGCAGGAATCTGGGGACAGGGATTCCTCTGGAGGGTGAACAAGGTCCACAGGCAGGGAGGGGTGGTAATTGGAAACCCAGATACATAGATAGTTCGAGAGTCTAGGGGGCCAACACACAGAGAGTATCAGGGCCTGAATGCCAGCCCCACAGGGATTAGGCTTGGCCCATAAGCTAAGCAAAGACATTGGATTGTTTTCTGGGTTAGACCCTGGAATTGCAAACAGGCCCTAGTGGGAGGAAGGACACCCGCGCTGGAGCCAGAGGTCCATGTGTCATGGGCAAGTCGCTTGCTGTCCCCATGCCTCAATTTGGTCTTCGATAAAATGAAGATGATAATAACAGGTAACATGAACTGACCTAATGACACTATGGGCTGCAGATCACGTAGACAGGTTCCCTAGCTTGACCTCTTTTCAGCTGAGAAAAGCAAGGCTCAGAGAGACAGCCCTGGGCCATTGTGAGGACCTCAAAGATAATAATGTATGTAAAATGGCTAGCTGATTAGGATTAAGGTTACCCCGGTGGGGGTTCAGGGACCAGGCACGTGGCGTGGACAGTCCTCAGCGAGGAATGGGTCAGGGCCCAAGAAGAGTGTGTATGGACCTGGGCAAAGTCTGCTTTGGAGAGCTGGAGAACCCTCTCAACGGGGCCCCCAAGGGCCAGCCCCTGATCTGGGCACTGGGTATGATTCACCTGTGCTCTGCAGCGCCTGTAGTGGAGATATGATTCACCCACTCTGGCAACAGTGCCACTGCCCAAGTGGCTCGGTAGCAGAGCTGTGATTCCAGCTCCAACTTGGCCTCAACCCACTGCCTCGCCCTGACCCCACACAGGCTTTTATCTTTACACAGGCCATAATTTCTGCCAGTTTTATCAGCAACGCAACCTTATCACATCCAAGTTGGGCTCCACACCCACCATCCCAGTCCTGTCCCCTAGGAGACAACCCAGGAACCCTCACAAGCTCCCAGGCCCTGAACTCTCACTGCCCTAAATGTTCAGAGAAGCTACAGGAGTTGAGGTTTCTGAAACACCTTTAAAAGACAAGTTAAGGGCCTCCCCGGTGGCGCAGCGGTTGAGCTCTGGGTTGCGAAGCTCTCCGCGGCCTCTGCGGCCTCTGCGGTGCCGGTTCGATTCCCAGCTGCTCCCCAGCCACTGGAGGAGGGTCCCACATGGCGCGCAGACCTCTCCTGCCGCCTGCTGCTCCCCTCAGCAGTGTACTTCGGCCCCTCTGCCTGCTCTGCTCCCCACTCTGGCTCTGGTGATTCTCTCACCCTCCGGCGCTTCTGACTGTACCCAGTGCATGTATAAACAAACAAACAAATAAATAAACAAATACATAAATAAAAAATACATGCCTCTTTAAAAAAAAAAAATAAAAGACAATTTAATTTGCCCCCATAAAAGCCAAGCCATCTGAAATAGGGGAGTCGTGGCCTGGCACACAAATTGCCCTGTTTGGTATTGGACTAGGGTCAGACTGGTGTGACACCCAGAGAAGGAGTCCACACATATAGACACACCCGGTCAGAAGCACGTATGAGAAAATCCACAGAGACTCACATGTGCAATGAGACAATACACACACACACACACACACACAAGACTGGCTCGCGACACCCACTCAGCTGCTTCACGCTGACTCAGAGGACCTTTCCCTGGAAATTCTAGCAATGAAACCATCAGACCTTCATGGGATTGAAAAGCTTGAGGAACAGCTAAGCCTGTGTTTTTTTCTGCCCCACTGGCACACTAACTCTGCAGGTGGAGGTGGGGAGGAGCTTCTGCTGCCCTGACTGTGAGTTGGGTGAAGGACTTGGACTGGCATTGGGGTGTGGCTTCTCTCTGGGCTAGGAGGCTCTGCCACCCCTGTCCCATGCTGGCCATGGTGCTGGAGGCCCATGGGCTTGTGAGATGCAGCCCAGAGTGCCAGTTAATCTCTTGGTGCCCAGATCTATTTATTCCAGCAGAATAAATAATCAATCATTATTGATTTTCTAAGGAAAACACTCCTTTGTGCGCTCTGGCACAAGAAGCAAGTGCCAGAGCTGGAGTCCTGGAAAAGGGAGTGAAATGCTTGAGTGCCAGCGTCTGAGGCGGCGCCTGTGTGGTCACTCTGTCCCTCCCCAGAGACCACTGCAGGACCAGCAACCCGAGACACCGGATTGCTGTCCCACCCCCAGGCACCCCAAACCTTGCCACCCTCCTCCCTTACCCCAGAAAGAACCCTGGCCTCTAATCTTGTGGGGGTAACAGACCTAGATCAGTGTTTTACAGACTTTTCTTACTTATTAGCCTGGAGCCACATCACAGCGATACAATAATGAATGTCGCAGAGCACGCCACAGCCACGGGCCACACACCAACGCAGTGGTGCACATGGCAGCTCCCCTCCCCTAGAGCAGCCAACTAGGATCCCAGGGGAGTCACAGCACCCTTATGGAAGTTTTGGGCTCTCCCACAGGGCTCACATTCTCCGGTGCTCTCTCTCTGATTCTGTCTCTGATCCTCTCATCTCTCTATTATGCCTTTATATCTTCTCTTTTCTCAAATTCTCTCTCTCCCTCTCTAATCCTCTCTCTCTCTCTCTCACTCTCTCTCTCTCTCCCCCCACTCCCTATGTCCCCCTCAGAGTGAGGGGCCTGCATTCCTGCCCGAGGGATCACAGAGTCCCCGCCCTGAGATGGCATCTACATGTACCCTAGATCTTGGCTCTCAAGAGAGAAGCCCATCAAGAGGAGCACAGGGGAGCGGGCATTCCTCCTGCTCAGGAGTGGGGGCATGGGGAGCCAAAGGCCAATGGGAGCAGAGCTCAGAGAAATTATTAGGTTTCTGGCAATTTACTGAAGGAAAGAAAATGAACTGACATTCTTGGGCTCCAACTAAGGAAATCTCGGCAGTGGGGTGGACACAGTATCTGGAAGCACATCCTGGCACCACAGTGCTGATAAGACCTCGGGGGCCTGCATGAATTACTGGTATATTGATTGGTTGAAAACAAGAGGGAAGATTATGGGGGTGGCTGGAGGGAGATGTGGCAGCGAGCAAGCAGCCGGGTGCACAGGCTGGCCCCTGCATGGCTGGCTCCGAGACTGAACCAGACACCAAAGTGCTCGTCGGCGTCTGTTTCCTCAACTGGAAAAGGGCTGAAGCTGCTCTTACTGCATGGCTGTGGGGTGACATGGAATGCCAGGCGCCGTGCCTGTAGATGATGAGCAGAAGTGAGCTCCTGTGTGGTTTTCCCTGATCCCCACTCCCTCCAAGGTCTGTGCTCCAGCCTTCTCCACCCTACCAATGCTCTCACTGTGTCTTCAGACTCAGGCTGTCAGTGAGGGCTGCCTGCCAGCGTGTGCATTGGGTCATTGGGTGGAAGCTGCTTCTTTCTCTCTTTTTTTTTGTAAGATTTATTTAGTTTTATACAAGAGCTGGGGTACAGGCCAGAGGCATGGGAGGGTGAGAGGATTCACCAGAGACAGGGCAGGGAGCAGAACAGGCAGACTGATGAAATACACTGCTGAGGGGAGCAGCAGGTGAGGCAGGAGAGGTCTGCCGTGCCATGTGGGCATCTCCCTGGCTGGCTGGGAATCGAACCCGCACTGCAGAGGCTGTGGACAGCTTCAGAGCACTGTGCATAACCTTCTGTGCCATGGAAGCCATTTCATTTCACCCCATTCCAGTTGTCTATTGCTGCCTACACCACCTCAGAACAGTGGCTTAAAGCAACCACAGTTATTTCCTCTTCTCATGAATCTGGGGATGTACTGGGCTCAGTGGGGTGGTTCTCACTCAGAGTCTCTCTGGGATGAATGGTGGTCAGAGGGCTTTCCACCCACTCACTAGCAGTGGGTGCTGATGTCACCTGACCACAGTGGATGCCACTGCAGGACACCCAAAGGTGGTCTCTTCTTTTTTTTTTTAAAGATTTATTTATTTATGCATATAAGAGCTGGGGTGCAGGCCAGAGATGCAGGGGGTGAGAGGATTCATCAGAGACAGAGTAGGGAGGACAGGCAGATCCACTGAAATACACTGCTGAGGGGACCAGCAGTTGAGTCAGGAGAGGTCTGCTGCGCCATGGGGGTTACCTCCCTGGTCGGGGATTGAACTCATGCTGCAGTGGCTGCTGATAGCTTCATAGTGCAGTCTTAACCCCTTGAGCCACGAGGGAGGCCCAGGTGCCCCCTTCTTATACCTTGGCTCCCTCACAGCATGGTGTCTGGGTTCATATATCAAAGGATGAGTCTAAGGGGGAGCAAAACCACTTCTACCATATTCTTTTCTAGTTGCACATTGCTGAGGACATTATAATCTGGAGGAGGAAATGAGGGACCAGTGCTGCAGGACAAGCATGCCACAGAATTACAGATGTGCACTGGAATCAGAGTCACTCCTAACTATTCTGAAAGGCAAGACACACACAGAAAAGAACATTGAGATTTAGAATTACTATCTATTTTTCCAAAATAAACTCCCCATCTCTGAGGGGGAGACACAGCCCTGCCTCAGAGAACCCCACTCTGAGGGGAGACACAGGCTTGCCCTCAGGAAGCCCCAGTCTGAGGGGAGACACAGCACTGCCTCAGGGAACCCTAGTCTGAGGAGAGACACAGCCCTGCCTCAGAGAGCCCCAGTTTGAGGGAGGACTCAGATTTCCCTTTCAGGGATTCCCTGGTTATATCTAAATTCACTGACCCTGTTTCATGGACACAGTCTTTACAGTGGATTAAACTTGGCTTTTAATCCTTGTGTTGGAGGTTATCTCTAACACAATGTCTTTTTGGACTTTTTTTAAGGATTAGTGAAGAAAATATTTACTAAATCTGCAAGACAGTAATTCATTTTTCATGTTCTGGGACTCGGACTGGGAGTCAGGCAGGAAATTTCCTCCCAACCCTGCCAGTAACTGAGAAGATGACTGTTTCTCCAGACCTCCATGCACCCCACAACCACTGGGCTCCGGCATGGTCAACCTGTGGCCTGTTGGAGACACAGTCCATGTGCCAAATGCATAGCTGAGGCATGATTAGAACGCAGGCCCTACTAGGCACACTGTCCAAGACTGTCTGGGTATTGCTGTCACAGAGGGCCAGCTCAAGTGGAAAGGTTTTTGGGGTTGGCAGGGGTCAGAGATGGATGAAACTCCTATTCTTCACTCAGGCAGAGGCTATAAAAGTTCTGCACCTTTTCTCCATATGTGTCCCCTTCCCACTTGGTCCTGAAAGCACCCAGGGGCCTCTGCACCCCAGCAGCAGGTAGGGGTAAGTGTTATGTGGATATCTGGAAGCCCTGTGACGCTGCAAGAGGGAAGTTGCTGAAGGAGACCTGAGTTCTCAGTGAGGCACTTCTTCTCTCGATGGCTACATCTCCTAATCTAGAAACTGGAGACACATGCTTATTCCACACACAGCTCTCAGAGCAGCCACAAGTGTCATCAGCTGGGACTGGGGTCACCTCCTTGGTAGGAGAAAATTTTGCTGTTGGTATATTTTTAAATCTTCATGGAAAAATCTGGAATAACATTCCCAACAAGGGTCTGGCAGATGCTGAGACTTGTAGGTAATAGTGTCAGGTTGACCCAGTCTTTTTTTAAAAAAAAAGATTTATTTATTTATGCATACAAGAGCTGGGGTACAGGCCAGAGGTGTGGGGCAGTGAGAGAATTCACCAGAGACAGAGTGGGGAACAGAACAGGCAGATTGACTGAAATACACTGCTGAGGGGAGCAGTGGGCGGGACAGGAGAGATCTGCTGTGCCATGTGGGTAGCTCCCTGGGCAGGGATCGAACTCGTGCTGCAGTGGCTGCGGACAGTTTCACAGGTTGTGTCCTAACTCCTTGCGCCACAGGGAGGCCCAAGGCCCGGTCTTTTATTGTTACTCATTCATTCAACAAATAGATTTTGCTGTTTCAGGACCTGGTAGAAGTTGGTGAACTAAAGTTCTAGATTTTACTCTCCTGTTGTGACATTTGGAGGGAAAACTGTAAACCAGGCTTGCAGGCAGCTGATCAGGAAGACACTCAGTGTCCCACAATGAGGAGCTGCAGGAGAGCACTGTGGAACCCTGAATGGAGAGGGCAGGGTGTCCTGGGGAATGATGTGCAGGTTGGCCTTCCCTGGGAGAACTGGGAGAAACTGACTCACCCACTTGAGGAAGTGTCTGTTTTTCCCTTGTGTCCTCTAAGACAAAGGCACTTACTCACCTGTGGGGACTGAGAAGGATGTTGGGTCAGGGACCTCTGGGGTGCTGGAATCCTCATCACAAGGGACAGGCTGCCCTTAGGTTTTCAGTGCAGAGTCTGGTCCCTGAAGATGTCAGAACAGCAAAATTCTCTGAGTCATTCTGACCAGTTAGTGATGGTGAAGATGTTGAAGATGTTGACAATGATGGTGGTGGTGATGATGGTGGTGTTGATTGTGATGGTGAAGATGATGATGATGATGGTGGTAGTGATGATGAAGATGATCATAATGATGGTATTGATGGCGATGATGATGATGATGGTGATGGTGGTGATGATGGGGCTGATATTAATGACGGTGATTATAATAGTGTTGGAGGTGAGGATGATGATGATAGAGGTGATGATGATGATGATGATGGTGTACCTGTTGTGTGGCTTAAATATTAACTGACAGTGACTGAATGATGTTAATGAGGAAAAGACAACTCCTGTTCCCTTAAGACATGGAGGAATAAATAACCCTAAAGGTGCCCTTGAGCCAAACATTCAGGGAAGCCAAAATCACACCGGAGAGCAGACCTGTCTCTAAAGAAGCACCTCCCTGGACAACCTCCAAATGTCTGATCCCATGACTCTCTTCCACCCTTATGACAACAAATAGATGCGGTCTTCTAGATCTCAAGCTGAAGGCAAAGTGGGACCAAGAATGCTGTCATTTAAAATGCACTCACTTCTGGCCTCCCTGGTGGTGCAGGGGGTTAAACACCACACTATGAAGCAATACGCAGCCTCTGCAGCATGAGTTTGATCCCCGGCTGGCCAGTGAGAAACCACATGGCGCGCAGACCTCTCCTGCTGCCTGCTGCTCCCCTCAGCAGTATATTTTGTCAGTCTGCCTGTTCTGTTCCCCGCTCTGTCTCTGGTGAATCCTCTCACCTCCCACATCTCTGGCCTGTCCCCCAGCTCTTGTATGCATAAATAAATAAATCTTTAAAAAAATGCACTCTCTCCTTAACCCATCTTATTAGTATCTCTGCTTTGTAATTAGGTATATGATTATCTTAGGTTTAGAACAAAGAAAATCTTTCGTGGCCTTCATCGTTACTAGTTTGGCATATACAACCAAGTTTTGGTCAATCAGTTGTGAGAAAAAACAAAATGTTCAATTTCTGGGAAAATGTCATTAAAGGGAAGGGAATATGCTCTTCTGTCCTTCCTTTGCCGTGCTGGCTTGAATGTAAGCATGATGAATGGCACTCCAACAGCCATTTTGAACCATGAGGTAATATGGGAAATGGAAGCCATAAATGTGGGGAAACAGGATAGAATAAGCCTGGATATCACATTACACGTTAGCATTGATTACTTCTGGATTTCTTAGGAATGAGAGAGAAAACAATCTTACTTAAGTAGCTGTTGTTTTATGCTTGTTTTCTGTTACTACAGGCTAAACCTAATTCTAATTGACACATTGAGGGACTGAGTCCCCAGGCATATTTTGTTGGCCCACATAATAATGTTCAAATATTTAAAATTCAAGTGTAACATTTAAAAACCAAATGTTTTGTTTTGTTTTCTCATAAATTTTGAATTGTGAATTCTGAAAAGAAGGAAGATTTCACATCCCTTGGCCTGCAATTCAGCCTGGCAAAACTGGAAGAAGTTGGATAATGGCCACCCTTTTCAGCTTGGGGAGGTCCTTCTGTTTCTTCTGTCTCCCTGGAGTCCTCTCCTCTCTACATTCCCACCTTGTTCCTGCTGGCTCTGAACTTGGGTCCCCGGGACAGGTGTTCATGCTGAGCACACCCGGTTCCCTGGGAAGTCCTTGCCTTGCTTTCTCCATAATGAACCACGGGGAAGCTGGGACCCTTCACACCTTCTGGGACCATTTCAAGTCCCCCTCTTTGGCACAAACACAAGAAGGGAGTTTCCCAGAGTGGGAATTCTATCTGGAGGCAATAGCAAGGTGGGGGTGCAGGTGTGTGGGCAGGCCAGAAACCTGTGCTGCACCACCGGTACACCACAGCAGTCTGACCTCTGGAGTCCCCACCCAGTACGCCAAGATCCCAAGTCTCTGGAAGTTCTTGCCTGGGAAGGAGTAGTTTTTCTCTTCTCCTAAAAAAACACAAACAAAAAACTCCCAAAACATAAAAACAAACAAAAGGTTTCACAATGCCCAATTCCAGGCAGTGGTGGGAGCAGGTGCCCAGAAACCTACACATGGGGTATCCAGGGAAATACCACCCATTTCCTTCCCCTTCGAGCCTTAGCTTCCAAAACACCTGTGATATGCCGCTTCCAGGCCTTTTGGCTGAGATCAAGTGTGATACCCGTGACAGGTCACCTCACAGCAAGAGCAGCTCTATTCCATTCCAGGCTGGGACTTCCTCTTCACAGAGGGTGACTCCTTCATTTTGGCATCCTGAGGGCCTGCGAAGGACCTAGAATGTGGAAGAGGCTAAAATTAATTCAATGCATGAATTAATAAATGGATGGATGGGGGAGTGAAAGAAATAGCAAGCGTCAGGGCCTGCCTACAAACACAGTCATGAAAGCTCGCCTCCCCAGCCAGCCTTCTGTGTCTAGAAATCAGCAAACTCTATTGGGAGGAGGGGTTGGGGGGTTCAGGGTCTGCTGGTCACCATTCCTACCCTTCCCTTCACTCTGTGGACCCCTCCAACATTAAAGAGAGAACCAGGAAGTAAAGGAAAGTTCCCCCGTGGCCTACGTAGCCCCCACGTGGAGCCCCACTGCTCAAGGTCTTGGCTACAGTGACCAATAGAAAATTGTCCTTTATTAGGACCCATGATTTGTCTCTACAAGCAGCAAAATTAACTAGAAGGGTTAATTAATCAGAGAAATGTGCAACATCTCTGTTATTTTTAATTCCTCACCCACATTAATGCATTATTGGTTTACTTTAGAACTAATTCACAGCCTGGTCTTGATACCCTTATCTCAGGATTGCCAGCATCACACTGGACATTGGAGGAAGCTCCGCTGCTGATTCCGAGCCCTTCAAATCATCTCTAAGCACGTTAGAGTCACATAAACGGGACTTGTAATGAGACAGCTCTACTTGGCTTTGATACTTTTAATTACTAGCCTGAGAAAGCCAGGGAAGTGGGGGGTGGGGGGGTGGCCCAGGAGAAATGCCTGGGGCCTGGTGAAGCATGCATGCTGCCTGCTGCAGAAATACAGTCAAAACCAGCTGGCTCTTTTCTCAGCACATTCCCTGCATTGTGGGCACGGCTAGTGCCCAGCAACAGAGAGACCCCAGGGAGATATGTGACTTGTGCTGATTCCAGGTACACAGAAAGAGGTCACTTTTTCAGAACCAAGTTCCTTCTCCCCTCAATGCTGACAATTTGGCAAGGAAAGTTTCTGGATGGGATATGCGGAGCTGGATTTTCGCCTTCCTCATACAATCAGTTATTCATTCAACAAGCACTTTTTTAACACCGATGGTGTGCCAGGCACTACTCTAGTTATTGGTGATATATCAATGAACAAAAGAGACATCATTCCTGGCCCTCATGAGCTTTCATTCTAGCAGGAAAAGGCAGACATAACAATGAGCATAATAAACACATGCTTTGTTAATGCCAGAAGACAGTTTTCATGGGTCTTGCATTTCTGCAAGTCTTGCAAGTGAGAAACTGCTTATTTCTTGTATCCTTTCAAGGATGTCACTAGCAAACAGCTTTGGAAGCTAGAGATAGTGTCTCTGCTGCACCAGAGGGAGACATACTTACTACCCAGCTCGAGAAAACTGACTCTTCTAAAACAAAGAACAGGTGCACTTACTGCGCATTATAAAAGACATGGTCACCAAGCCTGGGTTCCTCTCCCAGGACATGACCTGCCGCCTTCGCAGGTATTATCCATCCTCTTCATTTCACCTGTAGACACTGAGGATCCAGGGTTAGAATTGCATTAGATAAGGTGGGGTGACATGTGTCCCTGATGATAGGGAACCAATCAGGAACACCATCCCTGTACTCAGAGATACTGAAGTCAGCTCACTGCTTTGGGGTGCCCTCCATGACAGATGTTTCTTGGAATTTCTCCTGCCAGGTGAAGGTGGAATCTTCATGCCTCTTGCTCCATCCAGCTGCACCAGGTTCCTGAAAGGGGGCAGTGGCATTGCAGCCTCATGCAGGTGGGCAGGGCACAGTCTCAGTGCCCCTAAAACTTTTCCCAGCTGGCCTGCCCTGATGATTGCTGAGGACCTCATCTCCCATCATAAAAATCCATAACTCCCAGCATGGTGCCAAGGATTTTTTTGTTTTCCCGTGGATGTTTCTTTATCTCCCTAACTAGGTGGTAAGCCCAAGGTAGGTACCATGTGTGTGTGTCTCCAATCTGTCACACACCTGGCAGCATGCTCTGCTCATCGTAAACCATTAATAAATCCCTGTGATGACAACAACCAGCCTCCTACTCAATGCCAGGCACGACACCTGTCCTCACCTCATATAACCTGTGGCAGGTCAGGAAGGGAAGCGGAAGTCATACTTGGTGGCAGGGCACAGTGCCCTCCTCTCTGCCCCTCCCACCGAGCCTGCTCTGGCCATCTGCCCACTGCCCAGGGGCACCCCATTAGGGAGAGGACAAACCATCCAGAACCTGGCCCTCCTCCCCCACTCCCAAGCATCCCAGGAGAGAAGGAGGTGGGGACGGCTGGTTAAGTACTTTCCACGTCTGCTTCCTGCTCCCCCAGCCTCCGCGACTATTATTGGTAAGTGAACCAATTTTCTCTCCTGACATCTGTAGCTCTTAGCAGTGAATATATTTGAAAAACCCTTTATGATTACTTGAAATCTTCCCTGCAATTTGATTCCTGATATTTCTCTTTTCTCACTGAATGATTCCTTTAACTCATTATTTTTTATACTGCAGGCCTGCCCATCTCCCTACCACCACATGCCACCTAGGGTCTTCACTCCCTTTCTCCCGAAACAGGAAAAGAGGAACTATGGGGAGTCAACACCTTCAATCTTCACCATCCCATGGCCTCCCCGCTGGCTCCCCAGCCTGAGGACACCCCCTTCGTTAAGCCCAAGTCCAGCTTTTTGTGTAAAGGAGGATTACTCAAGGGAGAGGGGCTCCCTCCTCCCCCCACTTGCAGTGAGCCTCACATACCACCCCCTGCTTGTTCTCATGATTATTTCCAATTCCTTCCAGAACACTTAGCGTGCCAGCCTCAGCATGAGAGGCAACTTTTCC